CAGCCAAGTTATCAAGTCTCAGGTGACTTTCTTTTCTGAAAACACGACAATGCGAAGTGCAAGGGTGTCGAGGCTTGTTATTCGCGTAACAAGCGCGAGTTGTCAGCACCAATTTGCGCCTAATATACGCCGTGGCTCGTTTACATGTTGTCTGTTATTCTTAATTGGTTCACGGACGTCAGCTAGCGTTACGAGAACGCCTGCCACCACGCAAAGTGAATGGTGAACGGGAAGATGCTCGCCAGTCTCAGATAAAACAGCGGACACTGCACTAGACTGAGCATGCGCAAAGAGGGCCTTGATTGAACGCGCGATGGGTACCGGCGCTTGTCCGAACCGTTGAGCCTCTAAAGCGTTGTCGGGGAGCTGCGCGGGGCGTTGGTAGTGCCGCCCGCGCATGCTAAAGTCCGCTGACGAGCCTAATAAACATCCCGCTCACAAAGCAGCTGATGAACGGTAGTGGCAGTGCCAGTCCGTAAACCCGTAGTTTGGAAAGCGATGGTATACAAAAAAAAAAACTCACTGAGTGCCACTAAGACTGCACCTCAATCGCAGTAATGAAGCTACACTAAGAGGACAAAATCGTCGATGTAAAAGATAATAAACATTTTGTCCGGCCCTACTAAGCAGTGCGTCTCTTAGCGTGCCGTTTTTATGTGAAATTATAAAGCTAATTGTTGTTGCCTGGACTTGTCGATGCTCACATTGGGCTGACAGACGCTTTTGTACGACCCCCGCTTTTCAAAGCTTCTCTTTTTGTCATGGTATCTTTAATTTACCCATTCGTTTAGGGCTGTCCTACGCATTCAAGATGAATCGAGAATTAGGTAGTAGAAGACAGCAAAACGCGCGCATATTTGCTGGCTCTCTCACTCTTTCGCTCTCTCAACTGCGCCTGCCTTTGGCCCCACACGTGAATGTATTCGATAACGTGACCAAGCGAGTTAACGCACGAACTGTTACAGTTTGCTCGCGCGTCTCCTCGGTAACGTTCCTTAAGCTGTCGTGGTGGGTAGTTCATCAAGATGCGCGACTTCTTACCCGAAAAACGTGGCCTTGATCATAACCGTGATGGTTGTATTTCAGCGGAGGTGAAAAGTTGACGTTCGTGCACTGTGTGGTGTCACTGCACGTAGTCGCCGTCGACGACTACGTGCACTGTGGTAGTAGAAGTGCATTGTAGTAGTACTGCTACTACTTACGTGCATTGTAGTAGTAGCAGTACTACTACAATGCACTTCTACTACTACAATGCAATGTCTTTTGCTCAAGATATATACTTTGCCCTCAGGCGTCACTCGGATTCAGACCTGCGAAAACTTTTCGCTGTAGTAGTAAGTAGTGGTAGTAGTAGTAGTAGTAGTAGTAGTAGTAGTAGTAGTAGTAGTAGTAGTAGAAGTAGTAGTAGTTAATATGGAGTTTATGGTGGATAAGAATCTGTTGCTGTTTCAGATTAAACAAGCGCGGAGGGAGCTTAGAACATGCGCGTCATGCTTTGTTCGTTGCTGCCGAACTTAATCAGGCGAAAAATCTCAGGCTGAAACGAGTGACGAGCGACAGCTCTAGAACACGCTTCTCGTTAAACCGTTGCAACTGTCGCAATGGTGGGGCGCTGCCGTAATGGCTCGGCGAGGTCCTGGACGCGGGAGCCTTTCTCTCGCTGAGGAAGGTGACTGCAACGTGGTGCGGTCTCTCGATGTTCGCGTGCCGTACGTCCGTCCATTAAGGCGCCCATTTTTCTCGGACGAATGGCAATTCCCGGCGCCCATCTCCCTGCTTAATTTCGAGTCCTTCCGCTTTGCTTACCACCCGTGCCACCGCTGTCGCCTTTCTTTCTTTTTCTTTCTTTCATCCTCGTCCTTTCTCTCGGGTTCCTTTTGTAACTCGTGAAGACCTTTGTGGCCCTTTCACGCCCGACCGGCTGGGAGCTATTGTTGTTCCCGCCCAAGCTTGTTTACTTCTTCGTGTTGTTTGTTCTTCTCTTCCATTTCGCCCTTTTCTAGTTTCGCTTCTTTATCTCTCTTTTTCGTGCTCAGGGAGATGTAGCAGAATTTGAGTAAAAGAAACGAATGCTGGAACTAATCATGATTCATGGTGGAGCCCGCACGGACTGTGGAGAAGCAGAATGCAACAGTGGATGCGGGGCAAAGGTGGTAACAAAACAATAGAAAGATGCGGAAATATAATCACGCATGCTTGTCCTTCGTTGGAATGGATCACCATACGCAGTGTCACGGTTAATACTACGGGAGGATTTTGTTTTTCGGGCTGGTTCGTGTCACCTCAGCACATCTGCATTCATTTAAGGTGACACTCATACGTATATGTTTTCGCGCGTGGGCGAACTAGCACACCTTGCCATAAATACATCTTTATTTTTTTTTCAATCCTGACATCCCACTTATTTCGGAATTTTGTTATCCCGACAACTAGCGCAGGCCATTTCTCTTTTTTCTGTCCTACAGTTCTCTTCTTCGAGTGTAAGCTAGTGAGACAGACGCTGTTTACGCTAATATATCCACCTAGTGTTTCTGTTGTATGTAATCAGATTTTACTGCGCGAACTCATTCGTCGGAATTGCGCAAAAACTGGAAGAAATGGACGACACAAACGCACTGCCTCGCAAAGCAGTCGAACCGGCTTCATTATTGAGAACTTTGTGGTTATAAAATAGTTTGTGTTTATAAAAAAAGTGGTGGCTATACTATACCACCTTAAAGCCTAACGAAGAGTGTTTAATAAAGAGCAGAGATACAACATACCCGAAATACTTGCAAAACAATTCAGTTAAATAGCCTCATGAAGGCTATTGAAATAAATTCACACACGCTTTGCTATTTCATCAATATTCGTGAGGAGAAGCAGTTTGAAATCTCGGTATTTATCTAGTTGCCCGCGGGTATATGATAATTATTACCGTTCCGCTAACTAGGCCGTCGGTTCTTGCGCAGCAGTCGCATTTGTGCTCGATATTGTGCGGTGCCTATAAGACGCAGCGGTTTTCTCGCAGTTTATTTCCACATCACTATTGATTTAGCTAGGACTTCTCTTTAACATTCTTACGAAATTCTAAGCATGCCCCATGATTTGGTTTTTTTTTTTTGCTTCTTTCGCGCGATATTGCATAGAACATCGTCGCCACAGTTACATTAAGGGCGTGAAACCTTAACCGCTGTAAAACGTCGCATTGTAAGCTTTGCCCAGAAAACAACGCAGGAATTACGAAAGTCGCGTGCGTAGTCATAAAACAAGGTGCCGCTGTGCAGGCTTTAGAGCTGGCTTGATCGATTTAAATTAGTTTATCGCCGACCATACTACGTGCGGTCGCTGCTTGTAGAAGGAGCGCGCGGCGGTACTTCTCGTAACGTCGCCATTCCTTGGTGCTTTTATTTTATTAACACAAAAGACGTATGGCCGGCCTCTGGGTTTTGTAAGTTTTATCGCCTGAAATCTCGCTTCCGCATTTAGCCGCGAGATCATTAGACCGCACGCACGTAAATCCGAAGTGAACTGTTTGGTTCGCTAACGAAGTGCAGTGCTCTAGTAAAACTGTTTACGAGGAGTCTGCAACTGTTGCAAATGGGGATATTTCTGGTTTTATCTCATTGTTGTCTTTCTTTATCCTTACTATAAGCTCTTTTGAGTACTCGATACTATATTATAGGCTTAACATAAAACACCGTATTTTGTTCTGAATTTATTCTTTTCCCTTTACCAGAGATGATAATAGCCTTGCCATGTATGGTAGAATTTTATTTATTAACTTTAACACCCTCTGCCTTGTGTATATCGCTGGGCTCGTAATTTTTTTCTCATTTCCGTGAGCTGAGATGCACTAAATTATGAAAACGAGTTGAAATAACTAACATAATTCAAGTCCTATACTAATTTATCAATCACATTAAGTGAATTCCTAAGTATTTAATGTACTTGAGACCGTATTAAAAATTTTTGTTAACTTACGAAAACTTTGTGGTCGTCTCAAGTCTTCAATAGGCATATGAGAACGTTAAAGCGACACTTGTAAATTGATGAAGGTGGTGGCACCTGGAATGAATGAATCGACATATGCAAAATTTTATTGTAAATCCAGAGGTGCGCCATATAACATTTCTTGTCAATCGCTGCAATGTGCACGTGACGGGCACACAATGAGATATTGGTATTCGTGAGGCCTTGACTTGCCAAAAAATAAATTTAATCTAAACTTTCTGCACCCTTCAAGTGGCAGTTCTCATATGTTGCGACATCGCGACAACAGTAAAGCTGTAGATACTTTCATGTCAGCTCAAGAATGACGCGGCTTGCTTTACGAGACAGGTGTCTAGAATATCGCGAACTATACACTTCTTAGCCAATGTCAATGTGCATTGCCATTGGTTATTGCCATTGGTTATTGCCATTCTTTCTATTGCGTTTGCATATTTTACCCCCCAAAACAAGACAGTGGTTTTTGCAAAATTATCAGTAGCTCAGAAACCCTGCAGCGAAATCTCTCACGTGTGATATTCTCGAGTGAATGTATGTATGCGACTTTGAAATGCGGGGATTTCCAGTGGTGAAATAACCTCTAGCAGCCGCGGTATTTCAACTGCCTTCATTTTTGCATAGGCCTTCGATTGCAGTTTTTGTTGTCTTTTTGTCAGCCAGCCGCATAAAAAAAGGTGTGAAGAACGTGATAAAAAATACCGAGTTTACGTCAATGTTGGTATTGTGTATGGCATAATGCCTGAAATCCCAGTGCGTATCATGTGCGAAACTTCGGCATTGAAGGCTATTCTGGCAAACACAATCATTTGTGCGGCTCTTGCCGATGCGCTGGAGCCCCATGAATACAAATGATAGCTTTCCTACTTTTGTCTTTTATTAGTGTGTGCGGAGAATATCATTTGCTCACACACCTGAATAAGACGCACCTTTGATTTTGAGTATATTTTGTGTTTCAAACCGAAACCAGAGCTACGCGAGCCAAGAATCACAAGTCGTTTCTTCTCTCGCAGGCACAACTGGAACTGGTGCGTCCCAGCGATGGTCGCATGCTGGTGGCGACGCTGGTGGCCTGCGGAACCGTGCTTGTGCTCGTGGTGGCCGGATCCGTGGCGTACCTGGTGCGCCGCGCCAGCCTGCGATCCAAAGAGAAGTTGCACGGTCTCGCGCAGCCGGACACCGAGCCAAGCCAAGACTATCAGGTGAGACCTTTCGACGGAGCACATTTGTCGAAGGCTTTTATGCTACTGGTTTGCTTCTTGCCACATTATTTACAGCAAAGCCGCATATTAGTAGGAAGCAGAGAAATGCAAAGCAAGGGGTCACACTCTCCGCAGTATGGACGGTTTCCCATAAAAAAAAAAAACTTTTCGGGGTTCGTAATATCACTTAAGCTAACTTCACCGAAATTCAAGTTTAAAGCAGTCATCTATAAATTTTGTGACACAAAATTAAAACAAATACAACAGAACATACTATGAAGTCTTGGTTTCGATGACCTTTATTGGGCCAGAGGAACCGGCAGCCGACAGCTACGATGAATGTACCAAGATGATGATGCTAGGCGACAACGATGAGGATGCATGAGCAACACATGATAATGATGATAATGTACAGGTGAAGAGTACAGGTGAATACTAAATGCCCACACCAATTGTACAGATCCCAGCTCGTGCACTGGAGCCGCGTTTTTAAAACTCACTAGTTGACCATCTGTTCAGAGCTTTTTTTTTAATGTTATACACAAAGAAAAGCGCACATTTTACATACCAGTAATGATTTACCGTTTGATTCATAATTCCACGAGCTGTTCAAAAATCATGCAATAATTCCCAACGCAAAAAAACAAACAAACCGGGGCACCAGAAAGACACTTGGAGCTCTCATCTTTCCACCTCGTTCGTGGCAAAATGAATGATATGGAAAACTGCAAGAACACCCGCGAAATTAGATTACGGTGCCCATTAAAGAAACACCAGGTATACACCATTAATCCACAGAACCTTACTACGGCGGTTTTACACCACATCGTGGTTTTGGTACACCCCAAAAAGCCTTAGTCCGTGCACATGTTATTTTTAGCCGCATGTGATTGCCGTTTTCTGTTCACATGTACACCGGAAAAACACCTTTCCCAACACGGCGTTCATTTGTACACACAAGCCATTTTACGCACTAACGTCGCATCGAGTAATTTTAATGGCCGATATATAATTACCGAAAGTGACAGGCCAATGACTAAGCGTTTTGTACGACGAAGCATTGTGAAATTTTCTTCAACGTGCCAATGTACCTGCCAAAAGTTATCGTCGATATCAGAATCGCAAACGAACGTTCAATAGTTTTAGCGCGATCGCACTTTTTGATTTACGTGAATGGAGGCTTGCAAGAAATGCTGTAATAAATACACCCAGTTAAAGCCAACGTTTAACTGTAGTGTCCAAAAGTAATTACGAAATTTTCGAATCCAGCTTATATATTTAGGTATAAAAGGAGAAACAATGATTTTGTATTGAGACTTTAAAACGGGGGAGTGCTAGCTAAATAGTTGTCCCTTTGCTCAAAACGAACGGTTCGTCCAGCTGCCTTAGGTAACCATTAACAGTATCATAACATTTAACAGATGTAGAGATAATCGAGCCTAATGTGTCATTCTTATATATTTGCAATTACAGCACTGAGCGATTCCAAGTAGCGTGCACGGCATGAATAAAGTCTTTCGTTTAGAATGTTGTTTCAGAGAACTGCTAGTAATGCATTGGCCGTGGTATGAGCTGTCTCCTCCAGTGGGGTAAGTGAAATGCACAACTATGGCTTTGTATTGCCATCATGTGGCCTGAAGACAGCTCAGGTATTCCAATATAATGTGAAAACATAAATGGGAGGGTCTAAAAATGATCAAACATCGTCAATTCTGATACGCTCACTATAATTAAGCACATTTCCCGCATCGACGCGTTGCATCTGCTTGCTTATCTATAGTGCGGCTACGTTTCCGCCTCACACGCTTTGCTCATTGACCATAAAAACGCATGTTAAAAACGAACCAAAATTCTCTAACCGTACGCATAGATACACTAACGCGACAAAGCACATGCAAACATGTGTGCCCCTACAAAGTTGGCTTCTTTAAAGTAACTCTATTCTTGCGGTAAAGCACGCTCCTCAAGAAGCAACTTGGCTAGGTGGGGATTCCAGTAGGGGGCATGCTCTACTTATGCATATTTGTTTTAAAAGTAAATAGGTGATGGCGAATTGTCAAATTTATAGTTCGCATGTGTGAAGGAAATACTATGATTCATTTTCAGTGTCCAAGTCTTCTAAGCACATTAATACTATAACGCCTTGCATGCTCTGATAACGTCATTTCGTATTAGTTAGTGCTGATTATTAGTCAGCAATCTGCGGTGTAAATTTGAAGCAACACTTGTTGAAAATTCTTGATTGCAGCGCTGAGATAGGGACACTCTGATTCCATTGTTGGGATATTTCACTATTATTGGAGACTGTGGCACTCTTCATTTTCGTCGCCTCCACATGCTTATATTAGCCGCCGCCTGGGCTCGAAAGCTTTCGATATGAGACACCCGTTCACAGTACAGAGAAAATCAAGAAAAGGGGGAACCCCACTCCGATGCTTCGATGAGGTGGCTGTCTCGCAACTTCTTCATGTGGCGTCTTCATGTTGCAAGCCCTAAATAATTCCAGCATTTTGCATCCACTCGGTTGAATGCGTGCAAGCTGAAATTGCGAGATCCTGGCATCAGCGGTTCTATTTGGAAACTGGCTCTAGAAAGCAGTGAAACGAGGTTTGTGTAGGCACATTCTCCAAGACACGGCTCGTGTTGCCTTGTTGCCTGTTTTGTTCGGGCTGTCTGCATTCTTGGAAATTTTGCTTGAATTTTGTTTTTGCAGATTTTCTAGCATCTGTGTCATCTCTTTGGTTTTGTCAATGCTAGCACTTCACGAACGCACTTGCGAGCACCTACAATCAACTGATTGTTATAGTAGTTTATCCGTTCAGCACCTTTCAAAGTGTGATGGGCTCTTGCCGTCTAAAGCATGAATTCAGCGTGAATTTACACGTAGGGCTAAATGCGCAGCTCATTCGACTGACTGTGAGTTTCTATTGTCTCGTTTAGCTGGAGTCTATGGTTCAATTCTCTCGGCGGTCAGCAGCGTAGCTTCTCTGCAATAATATTCACCATGTTGTAGATAATGTGTGGTCCTGTTTACTCTTCCAAATGCCACTGTCTATGAAAACTCGGATAATTATTGTGTGTATACCTCAGGTCAAAGGTCCACTCTTACAAAGCTGCCTTCTTCATAGAAGAACTGCTGTAGATTCAATGCAGTGTGAATAACTGATGTTTCCGTATTGTAAGCAAAGTGTTCCACGAATTACATTTCGGCCTCTGACCGCACTTGTGCTTGCCCAGGGAAATTGTGGTGCAAATTTTTGGAAATGAGAAACTCCGTTGCAATGCGTCGCTCTTGCTTTGAGTCTCTTCGTGGGCGTCACGCAGTCAACAGTAAAGAGGTAACAATAAATTTTGTAAAAAAAATGATAAGACTAAAGCAGGCTCTCATTTCAAAGTTTCGTGATTGTCAATATATTATTCAAATTCTCGCTCAATGAAAGTGCGCTGTCCTATGCACTGCGTGCTCTTCTGCTCTTGCTAAGACGTGTTCTGCTACCCCAAATACATGCAGCTCTTACTGCGGAAATGAGTCCTCGATTTAAGGCTCATTTCATTTTACAAAAAAAAAATGATGACAAAAGCGTCGATAACGCCCTCGTTCCTCCTCCATCATTTAGCTGTTTTGGCATCTACCACCGAACTGTCGCTCTCCTGCCACTGTCTATCTTTGTCTCACTTCCGAATGAATATCCCTAACGTCCCTCAGACTCTTCCATTTCGAGCACTTCTTCTGACAGCCTCGCCCGCTAAGATTGCGGGTCTTTCCCGTTTCCCTAAAACGCAGCCGCATACTTGGAAAGCCAGAATCAGGGGGGTACGAGGAGTTTCTTTGTTTTATTCTCACTGCCTCCTCACTATTTCTTTTTTCGTGCGGTCTAGCCACAGGCTTTTCGTCCCCACTTTACCAGCACATCCACAACACCCGCCTTTTTCTCCTTCCTCTTTTCTTCTACCTCGGCACGAGCTTGTGGTCCGCCGTTGGTGGTAGCCATAATTGAAAATCGATGGGCCCTCTGGCCGATCTCTCGGCAGCGGTCATCGTTTCTCTTTCCCACGTCCCCTCTCTCCGGCCGCGTTATTAGGGACAGCTACTCCATACCATATTCCCGCCTGTGTGCGTGCGTGCGTGTGTGCCGAGGAGCGCGCGCGGTCTGCTGCCACTACTGCGGCCGATTCGCGTCCCAAATTGGCGCATTCCTGCATCATCACCAACACCATCTTTCCTCCTCTACCTTTGATCCTAATCTTCCATTTGGTTTTGTCCCCACCCTCCACCCCCGATATAGACGGCCGCAGGCCTTGTCGGCGATGTGGTCAGTGCCACGACTCAGATTGCGCGGCCAGAGCCAGACGATTCCCTGCGCGCGTTCTGCTCGCGTTGCGATACTTGCCTCCAATCAATACCGTGAGATTCCAGCCTGAGCGACCAGCTCTGTAACCACTGTTCTCTCTCTGTCTCTGTCCGTCTCTTTTTCTTTCTTCTTCTTCTTCTCTTTGGTCCATTCATTTCCTAGACAGCTGCCAACCACGTGACTTACTAGGCTCCTTTTGTGAATTGCTCCTTCGTCAGCAGCCACAACCTCTATGGCGTGCAGTTTTCAGATTTGCGACATGAAAGTGAGTACATCAAAAAAGATACATGACTTCAAGTGCGAAAGTGATTCGCAGTTTATTTCGCTGTGCTGGTACTGTGGTTGTGGTGCTCGATTGCTGGCCCTCAAGTCGTGAGTTCGATTCCGACCCTTGTAGCTGCATTTCGATGAAGGCGAATGTACTAAGCGATGCGGATGCAAGATAAAAACACCGCATGGTCGAAATTTTCTGAGGCCCCCAGTACACACGCCTCGTATTCGTATTGTGTTTATAACAGGTCAAACCCCAAATAATGTTAGGTCTGTAGTGCATTGGCTTTTTACAATAATACATAGGAGCATTAGCAGGGATATTCATGCAATTCATGCATACCGTCTCTGTAGAAACTGGCTTACCGGTTTTGAGCA